ATCTAAATATTTGGTGATCTGGCTCGAAGTGTCCTCCAAAACACCTGAACAGAATGTAAATAGATGGAAGGAGCTGGCATCTCGAACATGCGTATTAAAGTCTTTATTTAGCTACAGAACAGTGACCATATAAAAGCAGCTTACATGTTTCGGCAAATAGCCTTAGTCATAGGTGATGACTAAGGCTATTTGCCGAAATGCATAAGCTGATTTTATTGTCACTGTTCTGTATCCAAATACATACTTTAACATGGTTGTTTGAGTTGCTGGCTCCTTCCATCTTTTTTACATTTTGTACTGCAATTGACAGGAGCATCTGGTATTCTTGATCCATCACAGCTGCTGGTCTAATTCCAACATCCAGGTTTTGGCTATGATGTGCTTTTTCTGTCTGTCTGTCCACCTGCAAGGTGATTGATGGGGCCAGTCTCTGGGAGGAGGGAAACCAAACCTGATTTAAACCAGCCAAGCCTGTAGTCTCATACTTTATTTATTTTTTTACTACAGGTACTTATATAGTGCCATCAATTTACACAGCAGCGCTTTACATTTATATTGTTTATTCACATCAGTCATACTTGCAATATTACATATGTAACTCATGCTGCAAGCTCCCTGTCTGTCTGTCTGTCCTGCTGTTTGGATTCCCTCGTTGATGACCTCGGATTGAACCTCTCTGAACTCTGCCTGCCTTTTGACTATGGATCTGTCCCTGACTATCCTGAACCTTGCCTGCATCATACCAGGACTGTCATTGGAACACTCTGCCTGTCTGACAACCGCAAGTACCTGTTTGCTGTACTCAGTTTACGCCTGCCCCAGGGTGGTAGCCAGGCACTATAGCATTGTGTATAAGTTCTAGTGGCAACCGAGTACCTGTAGGTCTTCTTGCCTTACAGGAAAGGGGGCTGTTATAGGCAAGTAACACAGAAGCCACCTATAGTGTTGACCACCTGTGTTGGGGTAAGTGTCACAGCAATTAGCTGAAGTAAAATCCGTTGGATTCAACTTGTCTTATTGAAGAGTTAAGCTGTCTGTGGATGGTGTCAAGTCAGTGACCATACTGTCTGGACAGACTGGGTGTGAATGCATAACATGGCATTTGAAACAGAACATCATCAGTCACTAAGAAATGTTAGGAAAATTTAGGAGGTTTAACTAACTCAACAATATCAAAAGCTTAAAAAAAGGAACAAAAAAATAATTTGTTGAAAATATAAATTTCAATTACCCAATACATTTACTAAGGAGAACAAGCTCTGAGTAACTGCCATAATTTTCAACTTTGCAGTCCTCAGCTGTTGGCATATTGTATATTTTTTAGGCCTTTAGAGATACATTACATTTTAAAAGCACTTACTGTGCTGTATGTGGCATTTCTCATCAAATATGTACCCATGCAGTATCTCATTGTCACAGTGTTGATCAATGTTTATTGCGTTCCAGATATTTTTTTAAACCAGTCACCTTATCCACTAACCTTCGCTTTAGCTTAAATGATTTGTATTTTGCCTAATCAGATTTGGTGTCCCAAGGTGTTTCTAAGTGAAGATGTGCAGCTTGCCTCATTTAAATTCATTGTAGAATGAGATAACCCACTGCATGGCTGAGTTTCCTAATTAGAGTCTCCCCAGTCCCTAAAGACTTTGAATACTTCACTCAGTGTCAGCTCTTACTAATGATTTTTATTGCTAAATTGTCTGTTTAGAGTTTTATTTATAAGCTTAATAATTGAAAACTAAATACAATGTATTCTTTGCAGCTAGTTTGCCTACAGCTTCCCATTTTATTCTGCATAATTTTCACTGATGATTTGAAAATCAATAAATGTCCTTGTCTGTACATCTGTAAAATATGTTGAATATTCACTCTTTCACAACTTCAATTCCCATTGTCCAATCACTTGATTTTAATTGAAACAAGGTGAAAAGAGAGAATGTAAAACATCACCCCTTGTCTTCTTTCGGAATTAATAATTGTTTGCTATGCTTAGCTAAGTCTGTTCTATAATTTTTATAGTATAAATCACATTGACTTCCTACATCAATAACAAAACCTTGCCACTGGAACTATAAAAATTAGCATATTAAAAACTGGAAAAAAAACAGTTAACTTGATATCATAAAAGGGTAATACGTACAATAAAAATATCTGTTTATGTGCATAGGTATTTCAAAAAGCAAGCATTCTACTTTTGCAGCAAATCAACCTGAAATGGTGTTTCAGTTATCCTATTTGTAAGAAAGTCTGAAATTAATATTTATTATTGTTTAGAGTTGCAGTTAGGCGGGGGGGGATTAAAAACGCGTGGTTAAGACACTTTTTTAGCACTTTCCAACTGCCCCCCCTTTTAACTACTTGCCTACCTGACCAGTTCTGACACTTCTCACGTACATGTAAAAATATCAAAATTACTTAGAACCCCCTGGGGAAGTCACGTGGGTAACATGACGTAATGCATAGGCCAGCACGCAGTGACACACTTCCGGCGTGGACCCCATCTTTCTACACCTTTTTACGCACACCCATGCAAATACACCCGGAGCATGGGGTTGAAGGCTTGATGAATCAGGAAGGATAATGTGAGTGCAAATTTGGAAATACTTAATAATAAAAGGTATTACACTATGGGAAGTTGTACTTATGTCTTTTTCTGAGATATTGGCTCACACCCCAAACCGTATACCTGGAGAGGAGGCCACCACCATAACGCATACCCCAGAGAGGCAGACCGTTTGCGGGGGAGGTCTGAGTAGCAGAGGAATCATATGCTTTGAGGATTTGATGTTGTGATCCCAAAAATGCTTTGATCCTTACGGGTCGAAGCTATAAGGTGATAGGCTAGTCTTGCCACTTTTAGATCTTGTTTACGGTTACCCACAGTCATCATACACAGGCACGAGTGTTCATCTGGGTTTGGATTAAAGTGGTGCGGATAGCATCATTTTGGACTCTGGTTCACATGTCTGTTGTGTTTTATTCCTCCGTGTGAGGTTCGCCACATAATTGAAGCTGTATTACAGACTTTTTTTTTACTATTGTATTTTTTTCACTATTGCATCTTTTATGTTTTTTTCTTTGATTTGCAATTTGATATTTGGATAGTTGCACCACTGGATATATGATCATTATACTTTATTTCGCATATTTTATATGCACGTTTGTCTTTTGCATGTTTATGCATTTATTTCTTAGTTGAGTCCATATTTCTTAGTTGAGTCCATATTTATACGGACTCACCACTTTTAAGTCCCAGTGGGACTATTATCCACCATTACTATCTTATCCTACTTAGGATATATTCACTTATTACATTTATTTATTATATGGTTTCACATATTGTGTGAATGTGCATTTTTCACTTTTTTATTCACTTGTTGATCCAATTAGGATCATATCACGATTGAGTCATTTGGTAAAGACCCCATGAGGATCTTATCACATGGTTTAGTTTGCACATTGTGTCACTGCATAGTAAGCCTCCACTTTTGTGATTATATTAATGAAAATATGTGAATTATGTTTAATGAGTAGCGCTACATCAGTTTATCTTTATTGCACGTATTTGATCATTGGTATATGATTAGATGTTAGCAGCTTCTCTGCAAGTATTTTGCGAAAAATACACTTTATCAAATTATAATGTGAAAAATCATAGTATAATACCCAATTCACTTTTTTTTTTTGTAAAATATCAAATGTTATGTTGCGCTGAGCAAATACTGGTAGATCCCTATGTCGCACTTTAAAATTGAGTACGCCCATAAAACTGCAATAAAGTATGGTAGCTAAAAATCTTCATAGGTGACGCGTTAAAAGTCTGCAGGTTACCAGTTTAGAGTTACACAGGTGGTTTGGTGCTAGAATTATTGCTCTTGCTCTGACATTCACAGTGATACCTCACATGTGTGGTGCGATCACAGTTTACAGATGCATGATGGACTTACATATGCATTTGAATAAGCAGCATGGGGGGGATAGGGGTGCTTTACATTTTTTTATTATTTGATTTTATTTAACCACTTCAATACCGGGCACTTTTACCCCCTTCCTGCCCAGGCCAATTTTCAGCTTTCAGTATTATCACACTTTGAGTGACAATTGCGCGGTCATGCAACACTGTACCCATATGAATTTTTTAGCCTTTTTTTGAGACAGTATCTTTTTTCACACAAATAGGGCTTTCTTTTGGTGGTATATAATCACCAGTGAGTTTTTTATTTTTTGCTAAATAAACAAAAAAAAAATCTGAAACTTTTGAAAAAAACTCCTTTTCCTTTGTTTTTGTAAAAAAAATTTGTTACAAATAAATAACGTTTCTTCATAAATTTAGGTCAAAATGTATTCTGCTACATTTCCTTGGTGAAAATACCCCAAATTAGTGTATATTATTTAGTTTGTAGGAAAGTTATAGAGTCCACAAACCATGGTATATACTGTATATATCTGACAATCGATCAATGTACTGACGGCCCATCTCATTTCTTGAGGCCCGAAATAGTACAAATACCCCCTAAATTACCCATTTTTAGAAAATAGACAGTCCAAGGTATTTAGTAAGAGGAATGGTGAGTTATTTGGAGGTTGTAATTTTTTGTTACAATTTTTTGGAAACTGTAGAAATTAAAAAAACATAGATCACAATTGTTTTTTTTTTTTTACATATTGTCACCAGTCCATTACAGTGTGATTATATAACTGGTGTGGCTGTGATCAGGGACACTGACTGGCGACAGTATGTAAAAACAAAATAAAAATAATAATTAAAAAAAAAAATAACCCAGATTAGTTTATAACCAAAAATTATAATTTTTAAACATTTTTTTTACATTTTTTTTTTTTATATTATTTGTTTTTGTTTTTTTTTTACATACTGTCACCCTAGCACTACAGTGTCACCATGGTGACACTGCACTACTTTTGGCGGGTGATGAAGATTTTTTTTTTTTTTTACACTAATTGCTTTTACACCCATAAAGACTGTAAAAGCAATCATTTCTCTTTCACATTCTTGCAGCCATTGAGAACTACTCTGTGAGCTGTGATTTGTCACAGCTTGTCACATGGTACAAGGCTGTTGTGAATGGCCTTGTACCATGTGACCTCTGTGATCATTCACAGATTTCACATGTAGTAAGCAATGATGTCAGAAGTGACATCTTGCTTACTACTCTGCATGTGATCATTGATTGGCCAATCAGTGATCACATGATCGGGACTTCGCAGATAGGTCCTGTATGACGATTAGTGTCCCACCTGATTGCGGTGCTGCGCGATCCCAGGGAGTGTGCATAAGCAGGGGGTGTGGAAGCCATTTATAAACGGCCACCTGACCCTGCACTGCCACCTTCCAGCCGTTTATATACAACAGCCAAACGGGAGGTGGTTAATTCGCAGTGTTCTCTGCAAGTCCCAACAGCCTTAGCTGTGGAGCAGTGTGGTAGTTAATTGATTCTTCCTCTCAGTATATCTGCTTGCTCGTACATCCCGTACAGACAAGCAGATATACTGACAGATCTGCAGGAGACCTGCATGGCACCAGCGATCTACTGATCACTGGCGCAATGCTTTACAGGCTCCTGCAGCTTTTTTTTTACCTGCAAAAAAATGTGCATGTATTATTTTTGTACAAAAGATGAATTTATCCTTTAAATTGGCTGTAAACCCTTACATATACCCAATGAAGTGACAAGCTTCAGGTGATACACAGAGATGAAACTAATCCTCCTACATAAGTTGTACCTATTTATCTGCAGCTCTCTCCTCTATAAGCATTCAAATTGCAGAATTTATACAGCTTGTCTGAGCTTCCAGAAAGCAGGGGGAGGAGAGCTGAAGTTACACTCTGTAGAGCTCAGTGAGGGGAGCTCCGAGAGCTGACTGGGGGAAGGGAGTTACCTCCTTTCACACAGCACACAGGAATAGAGCTGAGAAATCACAGGCTGTGTGCTGGAGGTCCTTCTGTTACTTTTTTCTTTGGGTGTCAGGAAAACTTTTCAAAAGTGACTCATGCAGATAACAAAGGAAAGAGGCAGCAGACAGAAATGACACTTAGTGCTCTGGATTATGTCAAGTACACACTATAGAGGGATATTCTTTTTTCATTTTTCACATTTTCAATATCTTTAATTTTTGTTACAATAAGCCTGACATTAAAATGTAATTAGTATTATATTTCTTCTTTCTAATTCACAAGTGTCCATAACAAAATTCACTCTGAACTGCAATTATTGTGATAAAATAAAGCATCCTACTTCAGATTGTATGTACATGTTCCAATAGAACTTAGTAGTCACCATTGGTTGGTCACAAATGATCCAAAAATAATTAGCAATACTTCAAATTCAAATATTGCTTCTGGTTGTTGGACTGTTCCTTTACTTCGCTAAGTCCAGGAATGAGCTTTTTTTCTGGTAGGAGAGTCTTGTTTATACTGTTATTGGGAGGGATGGGGACAATTAACCAAATGGTCCTTTCACGGTAGGGACAGATTTTCATGGGAGATCCCATCCCTTTCCAAGGGAAGTGCCAAACAAGTGCATGCCATGGTGCCACAATGATTGGTGGGCATGGCAAAAAGTGATTGTGAGACTCATTTTCATTTCTTCTATTATCATCTTCTTTTGCCATCCTTCGCATTTGGTCACATGGGAGCTGGTTATAAGGGCGCATCTAGAGGGTGGTGGTGATAAACCCTGTATCTTCAGAATGGTCTGGTCTTGTAAGTGGGGTACCTCAGGGCTCTTTTCTAGGACCAATTCTATTTAACTAGTTCATAAATGATATAGACACTGGGGTAAATAGTTCAATCTCGGTATTTGCTGATGATATGAAGCTAAGCAGGGTAGTAACTGCACAACAAGAAACTTTACAAGAAGACCCCAACAAATCAGAGGGTTGAGCAATTACATAGTAAATTGGGTTTAACATTGATAAATGTAAAGTAATGAACTTGGGAATCAGCAATAACATGCAATGCCAAGCACAAACAAGCAAGGCCAGAAGATTATTAGCATGCATTAAAAATAGAGGATAAGTCTATCACTTTAAAAAACTCTGATTTGACCACATCTAGAATATGTGTCCATTTCAGGTCACCAGTCCTCAGGAAGGATGTGCTGGAACTGGAGAGAGAGTCAAGAGAAGGGCAATAAAGCTAATAGGGTCGCTGGAGGACCGCAGTTATGAGGAAAGGCTACACACATTAAGCTTTTTTTCCCAGGGGAAGAGATGCTTAAGAGGAGATATGAAAGCAATATACAAATATTTAAATTGTGATTCTAGCATAGGGAGATTCTGTTCAGTCTCAGGTCGCTTAAGAGGACATGTTGCCACTCAATGAAATTCGACAAGAAGCTGTTTAACCTCAAAGTGTTACTAAACCCAGGACCCTGCATTCACTATATCTTGTCTCCCCAGACCCTGCATTCACTATATCTGGTCTCCCCAGACCCTGCATTCACTATATCTGGTCTCCCCGGACCCTGCATTCACTATATCTGGTCTCCCAGACCCTGCATTCACTATATCTGGTCTCCCCGGACCCTGCATTCACTATATCTGGTCTCTCACAGTACACAGAACATGGAAATTCAATTATTTTAGTAAATATACTGTAAACTGCTAAATACCTTTTCTCATCACCAGTACATAGCAATTTTGTGTCCATCTTGTCAATCTTGAGTCCAGCTGAACACTGGTTAAAGCTCATAGTAGGAGTTTTCATTCTCCTCTCACTGTCCTATGAGGCTACATAACCCCTGCCCTCTGTCTGGAAAGTGCTGATTGGCCCTTTGCCGATCACTTACACCCTCCCAAAGAAAGAAAAACTCTTCTTCAATACATATCAAACTGAACATGTGCAGAGTGACTCCAAGAGCTCTAGGCTTAATCTATCAGTAGATGTATTGGGGACAACCGAAGAATGGGAGGATCAGAGAAAACAGGATCAAACAGCCTTTTCACACAATACGGAGGGTTAATTCCTTAGGTTCCACAGTCAGTATAACAAGCATGCTTTACAGCCTATACAGACTGATTTTACTGTTGTGGGATTTGTAATGCTTTAAACTGTGTAAGAGGTTCTTTACTACTAGAATGGTAAGGATGTGGAACTTCCTTCCACAATCAGTGATGTCAATGGAAACTGTTAACAATTGAAAAAAACTCCTGGATAGGCACCTTAGCATAATCAATATACAGAGATATGGGAAGTGCTAGAGACATAAATACATACACCTACAGTACCTACAAAGGTTGAACTAGATGGACCGATCTCCTTATTCAACCTTACCAACTATGAGATGCAAAGGAACTAGGTGCTGAAGGACACTGAACTGCCAGGTGCTGTGATCACAGATCTCAACAGGGAACAGATAGCTAGATAATGCCCAGCAGGGGCGGACTGACAACTCATGGGGCCCCCGGGCAATCGGGGATCATGTGGCCCCTGTGTCCTTGCCCACACTCAAAGCACACCCAAAAAAGCCTATAAATAGGTACCAGGGGCATTTCATGGGGCCCCCTACTGACCCCGGGCCCTCGTGCACTGCCCGAGTGCTTGAATGGTCAGTCCGCACCTGATGCCCAGCATGTGTGTTCTATTCTGATGTATGTCTGAATGGGGAAGTATTTCCTATCAGGGTCATTAGCCCAACATATCCTATTAGTACTGGTCCAATAAGCAAAATCTCCACTACTCCCCTGACTCTCAAACAGAGAAGACAGAAAACTCACCAACAGCTCCACATCTGCTACAAGATCTGCCAGCCTGGATCTCCTACAGGAACCCATGTTACACTGTGCCCTTTTATACCCTATCATCAACCCCAGGGAAAAGGCACAAGAGGCAATGGGGAAGCCTTCTTGTCAACTTGGCCTCGACCTGGTACGTTACAGATGTCCTTGTTTAAAACGAAAAAAAGTTTTAGCTGAAGTTACACTCTAAGGACCTTTTCACATGGGGTGGATTCCGTTCTGATCAGGAGGGGATGAACTCACATATCTCCTGCTGATTGGAGCAGAGCGCTCTGCTGTAAGGGAGGCCTGGAGTAAATGGACTCCCCTGTCCAATTACACCTGACTATCCTTCAATTCAGTGAACCAAATCGGACCTGGAGTTTGGCTGGTGTAAATTGACACAAGTCCGTTTACAACAGTCTGTCTATAATAATGCATGGCCCTTCCGATCAGGTCCACCTGAAACCTTACTGGCTGACCTGATCAGATCGTGTGAAAGGCCTAAGACTTTTAATGCATACACAACCCCAAGGCCTCATTTAGACTAGAGGTTGGAGGAGAGTTAAGAATGTGTGGTTGAGTGGTATCCAAGCTGCATTAGCAATGGACGAATGTCGCAATACTTCGCACCCGCAAGAAAAACTCAACTGATCAAGTCTCTCATGAATGGCGGATGGAAAGCTCACCGATTACAACCCATTCAACTGAATGGGGAAGCCCTGCAAACTCCCCGAATCCATGTGCAATCATATTAAAAAAAACCAAAAAGAACACCCCTGGACTTTTTATTGAGCAAAAGAGTGACTGTGTTCGCATGTCTGGCTGAGGGGCAGAATACGGGAAAAGACCCAAGGGACCTATCTAACTGCAGGTTCCTACGGTAGTATCGCTACACAAAGATGAAGCATACAGTGGACCTGGGATGTTCTAAAGCATACTTTGGTAAACAAAGCAGCTGATATATCTCCAACCTCCCATCCCCTACTGTATATTGTACACAAAGTCAATCATACTTTTTTCTAGCTGCTCTACAAACTTTTTCTAGTTGCTCTACAAGCTGCAGAGTTCAAAGTAAACAAAGCACTTTCATAAAACATATAGAATAGCAGATTATAGCACAGTGCTATATGTTTCACACAGTCAACCGATAAATAATGTTATTTTGTGACCTAGATCTATCATCCTTCCTTTTTCTTCCATACACGGTGTAGGTCTTGAAGCTGCCATATCGCTTTGAGTGAATTCAACCCTCGGCATCAAGGTGAAATAAAACTTTTATGAATGTTAAAGTGACTCCATTAGATTACCTTTAGTATTTGTTGAAAGTAAATCAAACACCTTTCAAGCAGTTCCACAGAGGTACATTTATCAAAGTGCTGCAGCAACAAACTGTGAGGTAACTAAGATCCCCATTTTATCAAATAAATAGAATAAAACAATAAGGTTTCTGATACGAGTTGCTTAAGATTTACAAATTTCTCTTAGACTTTAAACCAGCACATATTAAGGAAATGGATTGTTTCTTTACTGCAAATTATTGAAAAGCATCTTGGGATCCTTGGGTTTGCCAGCTGATCCCCTT